TGTCGTTTAGTGCCTCAAAACGACACGCACATTTTAACATTTTGCTCATGCCACTAGTCACTACTATCAAAACACTGTTCATTACTGTCAAAACACTATTCACGACCGCGGTGACGTCAAAACTTTGTTTTGACTTTTCTCTTCCATCCAGACTCCGAATCAAGTGATTCTTGAGTCTAACTTTATTAATTTTCGCTGTCTTTTCAATGTGTGCTCAGTAGCATCCAGATCTTGCTAAAAATTACTATTTTGCCCTTAGGACTAAACTTGTCCGGTTTTCTTTTTAAATTGCTTCCGCTATGTTTTCTTATGAGTTCCGTAATTTTATGGGAAGTCACAGATGTGTCTTGGGAATGATGTACATTTCCAGAGACGTTGCTTCCATGTAAAACGACTATTTTGTCCTTGGGGGCTTATTTGGTTTTTTCTTTTTTTTATCTTTTCTTCCGCGTCGGTTCTCGTGGAGTTCCATGGCCTCATGGAAGGTCACTTTGGTGTCCTAAGGATGTTGTATTTCCCTCAAGACTTGTTTTCTGTTTTTGCTTCCGCATTTCGAATCCGTTATCGGGTCAAACTATAGTTCATTACAAGATGCACTGGCTTGAAAAACCAGGGCCATCACAGGAGGTATTAGAGCTCCTAGGTTCGAATATCTTGGACGACTGGTTTTGGGTGCATATCATGCTTGTGTTGCCATGCTCTATGTGTTTAATTGCTTCTTGATAACATGTTTTGATTTGATAACATGTCTGTTTGCTTATGTGGCAACTTGTTTAGAAACTTACTTTAACTGCTTTATCATATGATACATGCTTGTTTACCTTAGTATGTAGTATATGCTTGTTTACTTTAGTATGTTATATATGCTTATCTGCTTTAGCATGACTATACGTTACATACATTGGCGTGCTATTTGTTTTATGCATTCACTGAGTGAGTTACTTTCGATCATGATAACTTATGTTGTTATAGATGTCGTTTCATTCTTTCACGCATATAACGTCAAGGTCTGACTCGTGGAGAGTCTTCTTGTCAGGGCTTGGGTGAGTATTGAGTTACAGTTTTTGTCTGGTGGAATGAGACGCGGGCCGTGAAGGCGCCGTTTCATCCCATTCTTCTTTAGTAGCATGACATAGTTATGGGGCATATGACATGTTGATATCATCTCTTGGGGTTTTGTAAGTGACCTTGATATGATGACATCATTGAGGTCTTTATTTCTAGCGTCATGGGACGAAAAGTCAGGGCTGACTCGAATCTTTCCTTTGGGAGTTAGAAAGTTACCATGTGAGCCTCAACGGCGAGGTTCTCGTGTCTTGCCTTCTTAGGGCGATGGTTTAGGGATTTGGATAGTTGTGTTGACCTAGGATCCTTTTTGTGTTGCCTCGGATAGCTCTTACGAGCTACTGTTGGGATGCGAGCAGTTTCGTGTAATTAATTGTGTTAATGTAATTTGATGAGCGCTGAAAAGTGCGTATTTAAACCCCTTAAGCTTAAGCATTCTAGCACCTTTATCTATCTTACTTTACCGTTTTAGATTGATTTCGTATTATTTCCATTTTCAGGCATTTATCCCGAAAATAAGCTAACTCACTCAAATGAGAGTTTAATTGAAGCAATTCTGGGATTAAACAAAGAAATGAGCAAAGTGGAGAAAGAAGGAAGCAAATGAAGCCAAAGGTGGGAAGCAGCAAAGTTCGATCGATCCAAGTTCAAGGTTTGATCGATCGAACAATGATCGATTTCAGCACTTTAAGATAGATCCAAGCCTTGGCCCAAAAGCATAAAGTCCAAAAGTTCGATCGATCCAACATCACCCTTTGATCGATCGAACACTTTTGTCCTTATTCAAATGATTGATCCTATCCACAGCTGTACCACCCACTAACCACTTTTGTCCTTTTTCCATAAATATCTTGGATTTGTCTTTTCCTAAAAAGCTCAGCCAGTTGGATCGATCCAGCCTAAGTTCGATAGATCTCAGCCAGTTCGATCGATCCAAGTCCAAGGTTCGATCGATCGAACTTCCTCCAGTGCGAAAAAGTTAAATTTCCATCTCATTGAAAGTTGTCCTTTATCCAATCATTAGGGAATATTGTGTGCATGACCCCAGCTCATTTTGGGTGTCATTTTGACCTACCTATATAAGGATAAGGATTGCTTGTTACAAAGGGAGCCAATATCATTTTCATATCATCTCTTGGAGAGCAAGCTTAGAGGAGGAGGAGGCTAGAGACACCATTGGAGTTCTTCATCAATAAGGAGCAGATTTTAACCATGGAGTTAGCCATTGAGAGTTGGAGCAACATCACCATGAGTGGCTAGACATCCTCTTGGGGTTAGAGTTAGCCCCAAGCATGTTTTCTATATCTTAATCTTGTGTATTATTGAGGGATTAGTGTTGTAATTGATGTTTTGATACTTTGATATATATTGATCTTGCTTATTCAATAATTTATGTGGTTTAATGCTTCCAATTGATCATTTCATTCTATCCATATATCTATGTATGCTAGAATAGATGTTCATGTGCTTGTCTCTTATTTAGTGTTATTGATGCATGTCTATGTGTATTGATACTATAGATTTAGAGATTGTCAAAACATAGTGCTTAAATGAATGCTCTTGTGATTCTCTTGATGGTTCATACTTATTCCTTGATGGATTGTGCCTCTCCCCTAGTTTATTTTCATGCTTGTAGTGTAGATGTAGTGTAGTTGTAGTGTAGTGTTAAATGGGTGGACAATTTATGCTTGTTGTTTGATGATCCAAGCTTTTGAATGCAAGTAGCATATGTCTCAAACATTGTGTTGTATTTGGATTGTGAACTTAATGAAATGATTAATGACTTGTTTTGATCTATTGTGCCTTTCACATGTTATTTAGACAATATATGCTTCATTGCTTAGATATATTGTGCCTTGCACATGATGTTTAGACAATACATGTTTAACTAAACATCCTTGCTTGTTGAATCAACCAAACACACACACACCAATATTGAAACACACCATTTGCCCTCATTAGTCACTTGTCAGTGGTATAGAAGTGCATTGCTTGGTGGTGACCTCTAAACCCCAAGATCTTTTTCTCTCTTACTTATTCTTAATGGCATTCTTTTGTTATCACTTAGTTGATTTTAGTTGTTATCTAATCAACCAACCAACCAATTGTTTGATCACTCGACCTACTAGCCCTAATAACGATTCCACGACATTGCTCGATCCTCACAATCCCTTGGGACGATCCCTACTCGCCGTAACTATATTTAGAGTGAAAGGTAGTAGTGGCTTCTATAAATGTAAAATTCTTGGCCCTCGCCTTAAAATCCGCACACTCTTAAGCTTATGGTAGGACGACGACCATAGTTTTTGGCGCCGTTGCCGGGGATTTGATTGATTTGATTAGGCAACGTCAGATTTGCGGAATCAATTAGGATTAGTACTCTTTTGATCGTGTCTTTACTTTATTTTTATTTTTCTTTTGGGTTACTTATTGTGTTGTTCTTATTTGACAAGGTGCATTGTTGGAGAGGAAGCAAGCAAAGGAGCATCCAAGCAAGCAAAGAAAAAAAAAAATTCTAAAAATTTGCTAAGCTAAGTTTTAAATTTGGAGTTGAAGTGTTAAAGGACATTTGTGAGACTTTTTTTACTCAATCCCTTAGTTAAATCGTCAGCCCGCGTGGAGGCTTATTTTTAATTGTTCTTGCATCATTGTTGTTAAAGAATGGGAGTATGAATTAAGTGTTTGTGGAAGAAGTCTAATTGCATTGTTGTGAAGGCATAGTGTTTGTCATTCTTTGTGTTTGTTGTGTTTTGCATTGTGCATGCATGGATGTCATTCATTGAGACCAACTCTTGTCCCTCTTGATTTGCATCTTAAATCTATCGTTAGAAATCCTAGGGGAAGAGGAAGTTCAAATAGAGCCAATCTATCAATGGATGACCATAATGATAATCATGTTGAGGACCTTGGTCACATAGACCAACAAGGTATCCTTTATCCCAATGTGCACAATGAGAACATACAAATACCATTAGGCATGCCAAGGCCATTCACTCATTAACCACCACAACAACAAGGCCAAGTTCTATACGGAATGCCAAGGCCAATGTATACTCCACAACCTCCCATAATCAATCAAGGAATTCAAAACCAAAGTGTTCACACTACAAGAAATGTGGGCTTCTACGACATGGTATTTACGAGGCTTCTTTATTTTGCCTCATGATTACTACCATTTACGGAGTTTATGAAAGAACCCTCGTAATTGTTACATTATAGGACATGCTTTCACGAGGATTTAGTGGAATCCTCGTAGAAAAATATTTTTACGGCGTATTAAAGAGCTCGTGAATATTTAGATATATTTACGGCCTATTTGTATATCTTTAACGGGATAAAAGTTCCCCGTAGATCAATTTCACATTTAAGGCATTTTTTTTACCCTGTAAATAAGCAACTATTAATAAAATCACTTAACATATATATATAAAATGAACTTAAGTTCTTTTACGGTGGATTAAAGAGCTCGTGAATAAATTTCACATTTAAGGCATTTTTTTTGCCCCGTAGATAAGCAATCAGATTTTTTTTTGACTTCCTCGCAAAATTTTAAATAAGCAACTATTAATAAAATCAGTTTAAAAATATATACAAGAAAATGAAAAAGTGAACTTAAGTTTTTTTTAGAGTAAATTAAAGAGCCCGTGAATAAATTTTACATTTAAGGCGTTTTTTTTGCGTCGTAAATAAGCAATAAATTTTTTTTCACTTCTCGCCAAAAATTTTTCACTTCCCACCGAAAACTTTCACTTCCCGGCTTATTTTTTATTTTTATTTGTTTATTTTTTGTTTTTTTAGTTATATCGAACAGCTATATATACCAGAGAAAAAGAAAAATAAAAAAATAAGAGATAAGAAGGGATAGCTATCCCTCTCTATCTCTTTTTATCCCTCCCTATTCCTCCACTTAAATTACCCAAACACAAACTTACACTATCCTCTCTTTTCTTTTTTCTTTTCTCTCCTGTCCCTCCAAATCAACCCTATCAAACACACCCTTGGGGATTCAGAATGTGGAAAGAGAGAGACCCGAATCTCTCATCTATCGATTTCAACCGTGTTGATGCCAGTAATTTGAGGAAAGAAAGCTTGATTTCCTAAACTCGTCTTTCTCAGATTGGGCTCCCTACGGTGTCGATCATTCCGTTACCGACCAGCGAAGAGGTTAGGGTTTTCAACTAGCGACCAAAAATTGAAGTTGAGGAGAGCCACCATGGACGACGGTACGTACCTTGTTACAGTTGCCTCTCTGTTACTTTTATCCTTTCCATCGTTCTACAGGAATTAGAATGTTATTCGAGTTTTTGTTTTCATATGAGCCTTCTCACTTTGAAAATAAATCATATTAGTTACATCCGATTCTGGTATCCAACAGGAGTGTTGCCTTTTTTTGCTCAGTTTCTCTCTCCGAAGCAAACTTATGAAATCCGATTGGTTTTTGTTTTCTTTACAGTCTCTGAGGAAGAAAAGAAGTAGCCTTGGTGGGTATTGCTGTATTTATTGGCCTGAACTAGCTTTTGTTACAAGAAGGGAGAACCAACCCCTTCATTAAGTGCCAGGTACAACATTTTTGTAATTTATTTATTTATTTATTATTATTTTTTATTAATCCAACACGTAACCAAAATATTAAAACCAAAAACAAGATCAATTGTAATTTGAAGTACCATTTACTAATTAAAACAAATAGTAAATTGTAAGTGGTTGGTGAAAGTTCTTGTCATTTCTATTTATTTATCATTGCAATAGTTTTTTTTTTTTAATGCTCCTGGTCCCTTGATTAGCTCTTTGTTTTTAAGTTGTTGTTGTGTTCCATTTTTGAAATGATTCAGCATGTGAGCATTTGTTTATTTTTATTGCAGAAGGATAATAGAGAGTGGTAATGATTAAATTACTTACCAAAATAGAATCAAATGTAGAAAGGAAGTTATAGCCCACATTAGTTCTGTTCTGAAGTTATGAATCAAAGGAAGTTATAAAATGCAAGGGCACTTTCTCCCGGCTTCACCTTTACCTACAATAGAATCAATGGTTTTAAAATACAATGCCTATTACAACATAGAGCACTTGAGGGATTTGTATAAATAAATAAATGAATAAATATATATTCAGAAATTAAAAGGGTTGTAAGATGAACCAAACTACTCAAGCTTGGCTCATAATCTTCTCAACTAGATTCACTCATGAGATAACCAGCCAAAGGTTAATCAATTTATTGAGATGAACTTGAGCTACGTTCAGTAAGCTAAAAGCACTCTATAAACTAAATGAAAAGCCATTCTGCTTGAACTTGAACCAAGGTTGTCTCCGTCAAAACTACCTTGAGACTATCTATGAGTTTGAGCTCATTAATTTTTCGAGGTGAGCTTAAGAATCCTGTGATTCACCATGACTACATTCATTTACAGCTTTCTGTACATACATTTGCATGCGTAGACTCACATACATATATGTATATGTTAAAATAAGACGTGTAACAGAAGAAAGAGGACCTCTCGTTGTGTGGGAATAAACTTCCAAGGCATTCCATCCGCCGCGTCAGCATTGAACTGCACCACAATATCCCTGTATAAATAATACCAAGAATGCATCAAAACAAGACATGTACAAGAAGAATCAACAAAATACATTACCTTAATCAAGGTCTTGTTAGATGTTTCTAAAAATGAAGGATAACCAAACTAATTATAATCTAGGATATAAATAACCAATGCATACTCCTGAAACTAGTCACCTCACTCCGATTTGCTGGTTTAAAATGAGCTTAATTTTGAGCTTTACTGTACGATTATGATGGAGTGATATGGTTGATGTATCAGATTTTGAGCAACTGCTCGAGACTGACTTCCAAAAGAGTACTCATGTCTTGTTTGTTTCAATTCACTTCTAAAAGCTCCCGATTGTACGTGAGCTAAGAAGGGATGAGAAGGTGATAACCCTCCCTTTATTTGGTAATTTCATGAGAGAAAAAGAAGGAAGAAAAGATGATGATCTATTTCCTTGATTAAGAATTTATAAGAAGAGAAAATAAAAGAAAGAAAAGAACATTTTCTTTTGTTAAAATAAAGGATAAAATAGGAACTCACTTCTTCTAGAACAAGGAATAAAATGGGTAATTACTAATTCAGTTTACTTTCCCTCCATTTCTACCAATCTTTGGAGATGGGGGAAAACAAAAATTGATAGGCCAGAGGTGTTCATTTCCTCCCATTTCTCTTGTTTTCTTTCCATAAAGAACTCCCAAAGGAGGGATTATTGTTCTAATCCCAGCTTGTATTTTTCTTCCCTCGAATCCCTCCACTTATTTCCACTTTCCCTCCTAAACAGAATTACTAAGCTCTTTCACTCATTGGAACATCAAAAGCACTTTTGTTCCACGTACTGTAAGAGAATCATTCCAAAGAATAGAGATATGCTACCTTGAAAATCAGTGATTCATAAGTGCAAAAGTTTTCATTAAACTAATCATAAACAAACCGAAATAAATAGTTTCAGTCTAGAGATTTAATTCGAATCAACGCTGGAGAATTCATGCTTTGAATAATGGAAACAATATAAAGCTGTCTTATTTAAGAAGTAAAATTTTAAAAACATACCTGGTGGTGATTGTTCCATCTTGAGCATGCCGAGAAATCTTTTCTTCAACACTCTAAAAACAATATGCTTTGGTTTTATTGCTCAGAAAAAGGTTGGGAAAAGAAATTAACTACCAAAATGACAAAACTTATAGAGATTGCCTCACCTCACGGCATTGAACAGTACCCCCATACCTAGTAGCTTGGCAGAACCTCCTATATAGAGGAACCGCTGCATAAGTGCACCCCACCATTGGGAATACCAATCCTGTTAGGTACAAAAGCATCTTCTGTGATTTCTTTTCAGTAGCTGTATGAGTAGCATATTGGTGCTGAAAATCAAGCAAATAATATGACCTCCTCAAACACCAAGTTCTTAAAGATGAATATCGACCAGGCTTATCAAGCTACCCCGTACTAAATTCACGTCTTGTAATCCCATATCTAGTACTATTAATTCCAAGAGAATTACAATTCATCCATAGAGCTTCAGTTAAGTACCTACATCAAGAACAATAGTTTCATCTACATGTACCAATTCAGGAGACAAAAAAAGGCTTTTAAATTATAACATACACATACATACATACACATGTACATATATACACATGGATAGTAAATAGAGACTCATATCATACACACAAAAAAAGCTCTTAAATTATAACATACATATACATATACACATGGGTACTAAATAGAGACACACATATTATTGAAAGCATATTGAAATGGAAATTTCTATATTGACATTTATGAATGTGCATTACCTTGATTTGTAAAGAACATGATGTAGAGTTCTGTTGAAGTAAGGCAAAAAATTGGTTTTTCTAGAAATCTTGGATAATGACATATTTGGGCGTATCAAAGCGCATACAATATCATCTAAAACAACAGGAAAATATAAGAAAACGAAAGTTTAATTGCAACGCACTCCTTTGCTTAGTTCCCGATGTAAGGAAGCAGAAAACAAATAGCGATTGAAACTTTCTAGCTTCAATCTGCTTGTACTAGGATCCTATACCTCAGCAGCCAAACAAAGATTTTGAGCAAACTGCCCAACAATATATATAATGTGGGCTATAACTGCCAGGGAGAGGTACAAGAATCCCTTGTTGTGTCTCAGATATTGTAAGGCTTCAGACTGGTATCTCCTTTTTCTATTTCCTCTTGCTTAATTAACTGATCTCCTACTATTGCGTCCAACTGTTCCTGAGTGTAAACTTTCTGGATCTCTTCTTTGAGGGTTTTAGGCCTTTGAGACGTACTGTATTGAGTGTTTCTCTTGGAACTTGCAGTGTGAATGTGAGTATTCACAAGGTTCTGAAATTCTTGACTAGAAGCCAACAACTGATAATAGGTAGCCGCTTCCAGGATTTTCCCTTCATATATCAACTTTCAACATAATGATATTATTTTCTTTTCAAATTCTTGCTTAGAAGAACTGATTCTGGACATGGGTTTAGGTATCAAATTATTGGAAACACGTATAAAGGAAATGGAAGTTTGCTATACTTTTGAATATAAAAGAATTACTGTTGCAGAAGGATAATGGAGAGTGGTAATGATTAAATTACTTACCAAAATAAAATCAAATGTAGAAAGGAAGTGAACTTGGTTAGTCACGAGTAATACTGTCTTTCCTGCCAGAGCTCCCATGACATATTCCTGACCATAACATGTTTTAATTAGCTTTTAACTTAAAAACAAATGTGGCTGTAGTATAAATTGGTGAGATGAGGATTGTAGTTACATTAAATAAACTGGTTGCGGTGTGTGCATCAACAGCGCTGAATGGATCATCCGAGAGATATATATCATTGTTGCTAAAAGAAATTAAGTTATCTTCCTGGATTTGCTTTTGGTTCCTCCTTTTCCTCTATCATTATAGCCCTTGTCTTTTAATTATGTTTGCAGTTGGCCAATGACCATGAAAAGGATTTAAAATTTTCTTTCATAGAATTATATGGACTAGAGTATTTCCTAGCTTGAATGCAAGCTTGATGTATTATTGGTCGTCAATAAGATATGGCCTATTAATATGTTAAAAGACAAGATAGGCTGAAATAATAAATGAAAGGCGAAACCACATAGAAATGCTGAAGAAAAACACAACAGCCCCTTCTATTTAAACCAAGCAGATGATCTTTAGCAAGCCAATGTTCAAAGACTAGACATTTGCAGCATGTCTTGCAACGAACACCAAGAGAATATGACACATTCAAAAAATCTGCCCTGCAATTTGAGAAGCTTTAATAACGTATAATAGGGGATTGTTGTTGAACTCCAGATTTTTGATATCTTCTACCAGGAATGATCAAACATAGCAAAGACCCCTTTCTGCCTTTTCAATACAAAATGCATATATAAACTACCTAATAAAGTTAAGTGCTAATAAGATTTATACTATATATCAATTTTTTGTTCTACAATCTGAGAGAAGAGTTATTTCATTACCAACTTACTCTTTGAAAAGAACCTTTCTTCCTTTATTCACATTATCATGAATATAGTTATATATTCTTCTTCCTAGAATTTTGACAAATTTTTTTTTATCTTTTGTGATAGGTTACTCGACAAAATAATTAAGCAAATAGTGATGGATAAAGAATGGATGCACACGACTTACAGGTTATTATATGTAGTGGATTGTACTTATAAAAGTTAATATGGTTTACACAAAAATTATGTTTAATTAAATGTTAAAGCTTTAATTTTATAGAGTTGATCCAAAGTATTATATGTAGTGGAGTGTACTTATAAAAGTACATTTTTGAAATATTTTTTTTCTGACAGGATTGATTATCACCAGTTCATTAGTAGCTGAAGAATCAGAATTTCTATGATTTCAGTCTACAACAAAGGTCAAATACTATACTTCTTTTATGATTGCACAATTTTGATGCTTTTTATACTCATACTTAGGGGGGTCACGTGCCTTTAAGTGACCAATTTTGCAGTGTATCTTGAACTTTATTACCTTATTGGTACATCGGCCTGTGTAGAGGCCATTTTTATTTCTTGTTTTAAAATGTTGAAGGCATGGGAGTATGGGATCATCGTATGTGAAGGTTTTGATTGATTGTTGTGGAGGAGAAGTTGTTGATATGTTGTTAATTCACTTGTTTTGGTAGATTATTTGTAATCACCTTGGCAATTCACAGATCACATGTCAGCCTTGTCCCTAGGAAAAAATAAAAATTCACCTCCTTCATCTCTCACGAACCCACAATGCTCAAGAAACTCAATACCTTCTTTCAATTTCCCAACTCTTTCCTGTTATTTAGAGCACAAATTAATCCGTTAGTTTGTTATGAAACAGAAAATTCCATTAATTTGGCAGAACTTCGTAAACTTAGTAAAGAGTCACTGCTTGGTGCAACAGTAAGTATTAAACAATCACTTGCCCAAAAGTCCCAGAAGCAATTGATTGTCCATCATGAATAATGAACAAGCCAGGAGCTAGATTAGCTTAAATGGATCCTCAAATTTATCAATCTAAGAGAGCAAACTATTTACAAACTCTACATCAATTATGATGGTTTGAGGAAAAAGCTAGGGATGATGGTCAGCAGTTATATACTTATTCCTTTATATGTATGGGTCAACGATTGGTGCATGGTAACGCTATGTAGGTTTGACTCTCAGAGCTATTACTGATTAAAACAAGATAATGAAGGGATTAGGCAGGTGGGGTAGTTTATCTTTACGTGTGTGTAGTTATACCTACACATATAATAGAAAAACCCATTAGATTTTCTATAAATTAAAGATTTTACTGGTATCCAGAGGCAGCACAAGAGGAAAGGGTCATTTAAACGGTGCATCTTATGTGTTGAAAATGTAGACACATGGAAGGGACATTTTTGTCAAATTTTTTATGTGCATGCTAACAGTAACTCAACGATTGAGCTTTTAGGATAAAATAAATCAATTATTGGGTCTTTTGGATGTAAAAATATTTTCCAAGGTTTTAGCATTTAAAAAAATTAAACAAATAGAAACATTTTGTGATATTTTTTCCAAAAAAGGAAACTACTTTTTATTGATAATGGTAATTATATGTGGTACACATGCATATATATGTCTATATCTATGCATTATTTTAGAATTTTAGTGACCCTCCCTGTTCTTTCCCTTGAAGGAATATTGGATTCACTATTGAATTGAGGCACAATGTTGGGGGCATATTAGAGATCCATATTAGAGATCCATCCATCCATCCCTCTATCTTCTTTTTCTTTTGCTATATTTTGGAACTCCAAAATACATTGTCAACTAAGAGTTGGCCAAATGGTCAGAAAAAAAGTTGGAGAAAATTCGCGTCTAGTACCAACCTTAGATTTCCCACCTACTGGATATTTGAACCTTTCAGAGGGCAGATTATTTCTGCATCATTTTTATCAACAAAATCTATAAAATGAGAGACTTACCTTGAAGGCTGGATTATATAGTCGGATCTTCCAAAATTTTTCCTCATTAGGATTATTTGCAACATTTCTGACATATATCAAAAGAGTTTGTGGAATGCCCTCTTCGCTTTCACATCATCATCCTAGATCCAACAAAAAAAGAGGGAGGGGGCTCATAGAAAGTAATACGTATATAAAACAAAGTTGCAAAATAATAAAGGATGTTGCACGTTTACTTTGAATCAAAAGCACCTTTCTGCTAATGATCATTGTCCTATTCTGAGTGATTTTATCCTAACACCCTCTAAAATAGGATTTTCTGTATACACATAAGCTTAAATTTATTCATAGAAATGAACACCCATTTAATTTCTAACAAGCATGCCAGATAAGCAATGAAGGTAAAATGTTCATAACAAAAGTTATAAGAAGGTTATACAGTTACAACAAAAGTAACCTCTCCCTGAGAAGTACAAGCATTATATACTGCAATGAGAAAAAGGTTCAATATTTAGAAAACTTACGACTACCTCTTTATCATTCTATATCAATTTATGCTACCATGTCACTGTAGCAACAACAAGCAGTCTATTCGTTTATATTTTCAGACTCATGATTATCTTACTACAAGCTACCATGACATGACACAAAACAAAATCATTTACCATGTGGTTGCGCTTGAGAGATCTTAAACAGTCTCTCATGAACTCTGCTTTTGTAGCAATAGAAGGCAACGTAGCAGACCAAACTGGCACCGAGTTCTACAAAATGGGAGAACACTTATAACAATTCAAGTTCTATCGGACTGCTGTAATCTTTGAATAAATAAATATGATATCAAATATCCAAACCTTTTCTTCCTGCATTATAGGTGTGGTAGATTTTAAAGATGCAGGACCTTCTGGAGGCAACCCAAGTCTCCCCCTTCTTTCAGCCTGTGAAGATAAACATACAAATCTGGGGTCATCTAAGAATTCTAGGGATACATCAAGTCACATGCATTAAAATAATGAATATAGACATGAATATAATACTGTATATGCGTATTATATTTTGAAAGTTCATTGGGACAAGCTATCAAAAGAGAGATTATAGGGCCCTAACTGTCTGTTTCAAAGCAAATTAACCTGACTTCTTGCATGTCATTAAGGACCTGCATGGACTACACTCTCTGTAAAATAGAAATATGTCTCGGATAAACATATTACAATACGTACATGCTTCATATGCTTCTAGTTGCCTGTATAACTCAAGAATATTTGATTTCCTCTCTAATTAGTTCACCCAAGACAAACTTAGCAGCAAATTTGGTTTTGATAGTCCTGCCACGTCCGCACTCATAAAAGTATATATATACTGTGAGACATAGTATGGCCAAATAAGTTCATGATAAACTCGCCATAAAGGTGCACACATATACACACAGTATATTTATATGCAAGTGAAATAAAAAGAAAAAAGAAAAAAAAAAAGACAATGCATGTATTAAGGTCGAATATCTTAGTTCCCAGCAGCTTTCAGATTCGTGGGCCAGATGTAGTTAGCTTTAATTATGGTTACAAAGCAAAGCTCAAGTGTTGATTAATGATTAAGGACAATAAGTTGTGCAATATACCTACCATTTGCGCCCCATCCACACGTAATAAACAATCTAAAGTTGAAAGCAACCCCAGCTACCTTGTCAATTAATTAGCCGTTTTGTCTATCGAACACTACAACAACTATCATTTCCACCATACATGTTTGTCCCCACAACAACAACATAACCTAGCTTAATTCTTTATTGTATAACGTCCATATGTCATCTTGTGGTTGGATAGTGAATTATATATTGTGGAAGTGAAGCAACAACAATAAAATTTCGGTCTTACTTGATAACTCAATCCAGTACTTAACGATGAATGAATTAAATGATTATGTAACAATTACTTGTGGTCTATACAACTCATTCCACCTACCTTCTTTACAAAGCAATTCACCCCACAATATATAATGTAAATATATAAACATACCCTACAAATTCAACAAATGTACTCTCATGGATGATGCCTATAATAAGAGCTCTTCCAATTTGATGCCTAAAACGCACACCTAATATGTTTTTCTCAAAATGGTTTAGAATCGGAATTGAAGTAAACCTACAAAATTGCTGTTGTAAGAGACATTGTATTGATCATTGCAACTAAATGATAAAGTACATGCGACAACTACATACATAAGACTATTAACAAAAGAAAAGGGAAATGCTAAATTATAGAGGAAGAGTTCTTGCCAATTTGATACAGAATTAGGTACGTGCTCGGGTCTAATGTTACTGAAACCCTCTGAACCACACCAGCAGTTCATATAAAAAAAAAACTCCCCCTCTTGCAATTCATCCGGAATTGCAAGGATTAATTATCATCTTTCGCAATACTTTAGCATTTCCCATAAAATACTGTATCAGCTTCTGCTCTAGATCACATCTCTGCCCAGAAATCCAGTAATTTCAATTTCTTGAAGACAAATAGACAGATGACAAGGCGCCACTTCTGGTTCAACAAATTTGAAATCCCTGGAATCATTATGTTGACACTGCTACAAACAAAATTAGAAGTTCAAATTCTATTAAATGATGAATCTGCTCCAAAATGGGTCATGCAACAATTAACTCCAACAAGAATGTTTTAGATTTGCTCATAATCATGAGATAAAGAGACTATATATTATGATATTGTAGTGTTCATGAATATAAAGAGATTATGATATTATCTGTTCTCATACATTCTTGCAAAAATCTAGTATTCAATTAAGGAAAATTATCAACTTGAAATATTTTTGGCAGATCTAAGGAAGAAATTCTTAGCAAAATGTTTGTGTTTGATTCATAAATGATAATCTTGTTATTTCCCTTTTTTATTAATATTTTGAATTTGAGACTTGTGTGATGCAGCTACTTTTTTGGATTTCGTATCGTGGATTTTGCAGCTACTTCCTTGGATTTTGTACAGTGAGGTGGTTTTTTAACAAGTGCAGACTGAAACTCAAGTGTTTGAAGGTTTATCAATTTTTCAACAGAAGTGTTAAGAAATTGATGATTTTCTTGGCAAATGGATTTACTTCCTTTTTTGGAACATTGATAAATGTTGAATTGTTTTGGTACATTGATTATGATGAATTGTAAAAATGTATGAATTGTAAAAATGTTTTAACTCTTTTGATATATTTTATGGGATATGTATGTTTTCTGAATTGAATTATAGCTGAAAGTTATGTGAATTATAGGTAGTGGATAATTAAATGATATTAATTAAAGGTGTTTTATTTATAAAAAAAATATATATATATTTTTTACGGGGAGCTTGAAATCCCGTAAATAAGTCAAAATCCTCCTAAATAACTTTTCTACGGCATACATGGTAAGTCATGAGGATGGTTTATATTAAATATGGGTACCTAAAATTTGCCGTAGAAAACTTTTCTACGGCACGGTTCAATGCCTCGTGAGATTATTTATGGGTAGTTAAAATTTGCAGTAGAAAACTTTTCTACGGCATGTTTCTGTACCTCGTGAGATTATTTACGGGTAGTTACAACTCGCCGTAGAAAACTTTTCTATGGCCCGCGTCGGAACCTCGTGAGATTATTTACGAGCAGTTACAATTCGCCGTAGAAAACTTTTCTACAGCATGCGTTGGAACCTCGTGAGATTATTTACGGGCAGTTATGATTCGTCGTAGAAACCTCGTAAGTAAGATTATTTACGGTAGTTACAATTTGCCGTAGAAAACTTTTCTACGGCATGCACGGGTGCCTCGTAAATTAATTATTAACAGGAAAATATCTATGCCGTAAATAAGTTTAATATATATAAACGAAATTATTTTCTACGGCGAATCTATTATTTTTTTACGAAATAGATTTTTTCTCGTAAAAAAATTGATTATTTACAGAACCCTCATACACGAGGGCCTAGAATGCGCCGTGAATAGGTTTCCACGGCGTTTTTGGCCCCTCGTAGAAGTCATTTTTTCTTGTAGTGTCATGTTGCACCTCAAGTAGCTAATCCACCTCTTATTTTAAGAGACCATTATGTGCCTAATGAGTATAATGCACCTATATGCATCCAATTGCCTCCATTTAGAGCACATCATTATGAAATTAAGTCATAAACCATTCAAATGCTTCCTAACTATCATGGACTTCCAAGTGAAGAACCTTACAAGCATTTGGATGAGTTTCTTGAAGTATGTTCCACCGTAAAATATACGAACATGTCGGAAGAGGTTTTAAGACTCAAACTTTTTCCATTCACCTTAAAAGACAAGGCAAAATATTGGTTTAATAATCTTAGGCCTTTTTCAATCACTTCTTGGGCAGAAATGCAACAAGAGTTCTTGAAGAAGTACTATCCGATTTCTAAGACCAATGCCACAAGAACCTCAATTCAAGAATTTTCACATAGGGATGGAGAAACGTTTCATGAGGCATGGAAACGCTTCAATGAATTACTTAGGAAGTGTCCACATCATGACATGCCCAAATGGCAATTAGTTCAATATTTCTTTGAGAGCTTATCGAACAACTATAAGGGCATGGTTGATGCTTCCATGGGTGGCTCATACATTGACAGACATGAGGATGACGTGTGGCGTCTCTATGAGAGCATGAGTGAAAATTCTTTACATAGAACATTATCATCCAAGAATGGTAGAAATTCACAAGGTAGGAAGAGTGTTGGCTTATATCAAGTCGACCATTCAAATGAAATAGCCGCCGAAATGAAGTCTTTATCTCAAAGGTTTGATCAATTTTTGATTAACCAAAACTCGGCAAACCAAGTATTTTCCTTCCCTAACCATTCTCATCGTGCATCAAATGAAATATGTATGACTTGTTCTAGTGTTCTTCATTCTACTTCTCATTGTCCTTATGGACAAGTGCAAAATGACCCTAATGAACAATTCAATGCAGCTTTTGTGAACCAAGGGAACAATTCTTATGGTACTCACTATAATCCAAGTTGGAGGTATCATCCGAATTTCTCTTTGAAAAGCCAAGGAGAGGAATCAAACCCTTCCCAAGGCGGTTTTCAAGAGAAGTACATTCCACCTCCACCTCAAAACCAAGGATCCCAAGGTTATAGACCTTATCAATCACAAGGGAATCAATTTGCTAATTCTCATTTTCCCAACCAATCTTATTCCCAAGGAAATACTAGAAGTCCCACCTTTAAAGAAAAAGTTTTAAATGCTTTGGGCACTTTAGAGGCTAACACACAATTGTTTCATTCTCACTCTCAATCTATTGCGAAGCTAGAAACCCAAGTAGGGCAGATAGCAAGCACTCTCAATGCAAGAAAGTAAGGAAAGATGCCTATAAATGCCCCACCTAAGCAACAATGTGTTGTGGAAACCGATTCTTCATCGGAAGGCCACACCATTGAACATGTTAATTGCGGTGACTACCTTGCGGAGTGGTAGGGTTGTGGACAATCAAGTTGAAATGTCCAATGAAGAGAGTGAACCGGTGCAACCTCAAGTTGTCACCCATCCTGTTTCACATCCCATTCTTCCTTCATTGCATATACACGACTTTGTAAATGAGAAAGTTTTGAAAAATGTGTTTGAAAAAGAAATTTTGAAAAATGATGTTGAAAAGGTTTTATTAAAAAATGATTTGAAAACTTCTTGTGTTGAAGAGAGTTCAAAAGAAAATTTTGAAAAAGTGTTTGAACCAAAAGTTCCATTTCTGAATGCCTTAAAAGGATCCATTTCAAAAGACAAGTAAAAGGCAAAAACCAATGAAATTATGGAAATATTTAGGCAAGTGAAAGTTAATCTTCCACTATTGGATGCAATCAAGCAAATTCCGGCTTATGTTAAATTCTTGAAAGACTTGTGCACCCAAAAGCGGAAGAACAAGAGCCAAGCACCAAGAAAAGTGGTTTTGACCGAGCAAGTAAGCTCAATTTTGCAACATAACACTTTTCCAAAGTTTAAGGACCCTGGTTCGCCCACTACATCATGCATTATTGGTGATCATATCATTAATCGGACGCTTCTTGACTTAGGAGCAAGTGTTAACCTTCTTCCATACTCGATTTATGTTAAATTGGGCCTAGGTGAATTGAAACTGACGTCGTTAGTTTTGCAACTTGCCGACTGATCCATTAAGAAGCCTAGGGGTATAATTGAGGATGTTTTGATTAAGATTGATAAATTCTTCTTCCCCATTGATTTTGTTGTCATAGACACGAAACCGGTCCCCAATCCTAAGAGCCAAATTCCCGTTACCCTTGGCCTTCCTTTCTTGGCAACCGCTAATGCCAACATCAATTGTAGGACGGGGATACTGAAGATCTCATTTGGCCACATGAAGGTGAAGTTGAATATCTTTAATCCCACACCCAATTCATTTGACAAATATGAAGGAGAGGTTAATGTTGTAGATAAATGTCATGATCTTCAATGTCAAGGAAATAAGTTTTTGTGTAAGACCAAAACTTCCAAAGGATCATCTTCAACCTTGCATTCTCAAAGTCTTGTTTCAAATTCTTGCTTTGAAAGGGCATGGAAGCCCAAAGGTTGTGATTGCATAAACAAGGGACCAAAGGTTTCTTTTGAGATTAATCTAACAAGTTCTCCAAAGAACCATTTATTGGGTGGAGTTTAAAGCATCTATCACCCCAATAAGGAGGGGATGCATTATAAGATCTTTGATCCGGGCTAAAAGAGCCCAATGTCTTGCTAGAGACGTTAAAGACTAGCAAAATCATTTCGTAGGGTGTCAAAACCCTATTCCTCCCCAATTTTTATCTTTCATTTTATTTCTTGCGAAGTCTAGATACTTGTTTTTGGTTCATATGCATTGAAAGGAACTTTGGTGAGGATTGCATAAGCTTTCCTGTCATTATTGAGCATTCTGCATAGTTCGATCGATCTCAAACTTGAGTTTGATCGATCGAACTCCATTCTGCATCCAACACTTAGAAAATTTTTCGACTTGCAGAAACCTGCATCCAAATTATCTCTCTGTCCCATCGTTCGAACTAACTCTTAGATCGATCAAGAGACCTTTGATCGATCCAATTTTAAAGTTCGATCGATCTCATGATTCAACACTTAGAAAAATTTTGAGCCTACATCAACCTGCATATTTCACCTCTCTGTCTAATCGATCGAAACATTCTAAGATTGATCTGAAAGTTCTTTGATCGATCCAACTTTCAAGTTCGATCGATCTTCAAGTTCCAACACTTAGCCAATTTTCTGAGCCAAAAACCTGCATATTTTTGCTCTCTGTCTGATCGATTGAACTCTTGTTTCGATCGATCTCAGTTCTTCATTTTATTATTTTGACTTTGTTTTGACTTTTCAAATTTTCAAAAATCCAAAATATTTTCATTTTTATTTTATTCTATTTTATTTTCATTATATTTCATTTTATTTTATTTTTCAAAAAGTTTTAAAAATTTAAAAATATTTTAATTAGTTTTTAATTATTATCGTTTATTCAATTATATATATATAAAATTTTATTTTACTTTATTTTTTAAATTTTAATTTTGCAATTTTCAAAATAATTTCAAAAATCCAAAAATACTTTGAAGAGAGTTCATCAAAGTTCGATTGATCTTAGTTAAAGTTCGATCGATCGAACTCTGTCGGAAATATTTTTAAAACTAGAACCGAGGGTTTTCTAGATCGATACCTTAGATCGATCTCACCCTCTCTATAAACCCTAACCCCCCTTCCCCTCATCGCCACCGCATCCCATCACCTCTCCCACCTCCAGCGAACTTTCCGGCAAGCATCTAAGCATCGATCTCTCTCTCCCTTCTCGGATTCATCTCCACTCTTCCACATCTCCGCTTCTCTTATCATTTGAGGTAAGATTTGAGAATGTCCCTCATGATTTAAGCTTCAATCTTGCGCATACATGCTTTATATGTTGAATACATGCTATATACATGACACAATCCTCCATTGTTGAAGCTTGAAGCATTTGTGTCTATATATATTTATGTGTATATATTTTTGATGATTTTATTCGATTTGGGAGTATGGGCCATGATTGGGTGATGGGATTGGATGATATGTTGAGTTGAAGGGCCTATGAACACGTTCGTGTGGGCCCCGTGCTTCCAAAGTCACAGATCTGTGACCTTTAAGTTTTCATAGTCGCATAGTTCGATCGATCGAACTTGTATCTTAGATCGATCTTGAGAGATCGATCGAACTCATGTCTCTAATCGATCGAAGTTGTGAGATCGATCC